GAGGGGGGAGTGTTAGAATATTCCAATATTAGATCATTCTTCTAGATCTTTCTCCTATTTGTTATTAGATGCTTATTCTAGATCCTTCTTTAATCTGTTATGTAATTAGTTTGTTAGATAGTTTAGCATATAAATAGATCAATGTATTTAGAATGTTAATTGAGCTTTTGATGAATAATAAGTGTTCTACATAGTTTCCTTCATCAAGTTCCTTCAATATATTCTATATAGAATCTATCTTTTATTTTCTCAATAGAACGTGAATGATATCCAAATTACGTGTGTCAATTTCCTCTTTTTGTGCCTCCAAGGCTGTTGCCCACTATGTGTATATTTAATCTCCTTTTACTTCTACATGCCAGTGTGTGTTGTGTATATATATATATTATATGTGTGTGTGTGTGTCATCTTTCCGTCCCGCCGCAATCTATATATGTATTCTCCCTTTTTTGTTCTCTACTTTCAAGCTGTCGCCAAAGCTGCCCAATGTGTAGATATATATTTCAATTGCCACTCCTATCCTCCACATTCTGTGCGTGTATATGTGTATATATATACATAAAAGTAACAGCCCTTGATTTTTCCCCAACCCTTTTTTTGTGTACTTGAATGTGTGTCCAATTTCTCCCCCACTTTCTCTGCTTCGGTCTGTGTATATATATATATATATAACAAGGCAGTCGAGCCTCTTTTCTTTCTTTTAATCCCAATGTTCTCTTTGTCTATATATTTAATCTCAACTCACGAAAATTTGTATCTAATTAGAAGTCCAAATTGAGGCATAATTAATTTAATGATTGCTTCCAAGTCCTCGTACTACGAATTTCTCCATTTTTTCACTATTTTCATTTTTTTTCTTCATTCTTTATTAAACATAAAGTTTTACCTACAAAATATAATATAACATAAATTAGATAGAATTTTATTCAAAAGACAATAAAATATCATGATTAAGAGCCTCGAATAAGTGTAGAAACTACACTTATCAATAGTATCAAAGATTCACTAAATTTGATCTTAGTTGTTGTTCTTCTAAGAGTTGTCTCTAACTAGAATTTATACATGATAGTTTTGTCCGTACTCACAGTGGTGATGTTTATTATGGTCCTGGTTATTTGTATAATGGTTTGAGGTTTTGAGTTTTGAAATTCAAAGACTGTAAGAGCTCGATTTCCATACAGTTAGTACATCCAAATTTCTTTGCGGGCTATGATTAAGAGATAATGGGATTTAACCTCAATTTTTCATTACATTATAGATGAATTCAAGCATTTTAGTAGTATTCATGATTTTCATAAGTTGAAGATATTGTATGCATTTAGACTTTGCTGAAGTGGAGTAGGAAATCAAATTATGGAAGTGAAGACATTGAAATTTGAGAGCGTGAATATCTGTCGCAAGAGTTCAATGATCTAATGAAAGAGAAATTTTTATTAAATTAGCTATCATTTGTTCACCAAAAACTAAATTATTTATAGGAGAGAAGGGAGTATTGCTAGATGTAATGAGGCTTGAGATAATGCAATCTAATTTATGTATGCCTGCAACCTGTCACTTAACGGAGTTCTCTCAATATTAGTACATTCGGAATTGTATAAGCTTTAGAGAAATAGAAAATCAAATGTGGAATAAACTCAAGATCAATTATGTAAGTTATTGAGTTTTTCAAGTGAGTTTAGAAACATAAATGTGGTAAGATCGAGATGTATCTCTATAAGATACACATGACAGTTCAAATGGTACTTGTTCATAATTGAAATTTTAGATGGATATTGAGTCACAATATGTGACATTTGAAAGTTTCCCTAGTAAGGGGGAAATATTTGGAGAATATTTGTAAAATTAATATTATGCGTATTGGTAAATCAATTTTGACTACGAAAGAGTTGTTTTAAATTTCGGATTCAAGTTAGAGTAATCCATCTTCGAGTTGGAGTGATCTATTTTCAATTATTATTAGTTCAAAATATTCCTTACATATATAAGTACAAAGGGGTAAAATTAAGGAAAGTGGTCGAAATATATGGAGTACAGAATTTCAATCTAATCTAGGATGTTGTAGAAGTTCTAATTGGACATTAAATTTATTAAGAACATTCAGATTTTTTTGAAAAACTAAGTTTAAGACTAATTAGTAAAGCTCATTTTTGGGGGAAAAATGTTTACACTCAGTATGAGTGTATTAATTTAGATTAACTTTTTTTCATAGCAGTGAGATTTTCATTGTCGTACGTCGATGCTAGTCGTGATAGTGTATTTAAATTTAGAGTTGCACCAAAAAAACATAGAGATTGTATTTTTATTCTCAAATGAGAATTGATTGAATAGATATGCATTAATCGACTTGTAGGTTTCATATTAAAGTTTCTTTAATATTATGGTAACTTTATAGTTACACTCATATCATAATATGGTTATCTTGACAGTGGTACTTGAGCTTTAATAGGGTTTAAGTCTCGTATAAATTTTCATCATATGTCGATGACTATCACTGTATTTATGTAAAGATCAGATGGTAGGTTGTAACTATAATTTTGATGTTGATGACATCGTATTGACTAAGCATGAGAAAATGAATGCATTGAGACCATTTGAAATGGTTATCCTCAATCTTTGAGACGTAAGGCATCGGTTTAGCAAATTGTATATCTTGTATTAAAAGATCATTCTAGTCTTCTTGCTCTGTCACTAGAATTATACACTTTAAAGATTTTAGAATATGTCAAATTGTATAATTACTATCCTTTGATACTCTTATATCGGAAGACGACAATATAAGTCTTCATATATGTCCAATGACTCCATAAGTGTACAAAGAAATATCAAAAGAACCATATCTAGTATAATTAGGAGTTAGAAGTACATTATGATATATACTTATCCTAACATTTGTCATGCAATGAATCTAGTCAATAGGTATCAATATTATCCTTGGAAAGGGAACTGTGATACCTAAATGTTTTCGAGGAAATAACTTGTGATTGAAATGATGAGAATTAGTTGAGCACAAATAGGTATTAGACTTATGCACTCTTGCTATAAAGAGTAGCAAGAAGTATATCTTGTAGTGTATTTCTTGGCAGCTCAAGAAATTATTTTGTATAGATGTATTTAGTGTCTAATGATACTAGTTGATAATATGAGATCAATGATAGTTATACAACTATCTATATTGAAGATCTCAAATATCATGATAGAATTGAACGCTCGATTATATTTCGGTAAGAGATATTAGCAAAAAAAGTGTCATTGTGATGTATCTATGCACATGATGATTTGTAATCATCATACTCTGAAAATATTTAGAGATATACTTATTGGTGATGTTGAATCTCTAAACTTGAGTAGAATATGATATTGTATCAGAAAACTTTTAATTGAATATTGTTTGCCTATAGATGAACAATTTTGAGTTCACGTGTAATTTATTGTAGGGATTACGAGATAATTAGTTGTATGCACATATAAAATATGTCGAACAGGTCATGATTGACCTACTTACACGAGCAATTGTCTTAGATAAATTTGGGATGTACTAAGATTAGACAAAGTGATTGTGTTATGTATATGATCTAAATGTCTTGATGAAATATCAAGATAAGATTATTGGAAGTAATCGAAATGAATTTTTTTTGTTATCCATTAAACCTGTTTTATAGCCAGATCGAGCTCTCAATTTAAGATTGTTTGAAAGAATGAACATAAGGAGAACTTAAGCTAGGTATCAAAGAACACCTGGACTAGGATATGTATAGTGTTATTTATTTTTAAAGAATTTGACTTA